GGCTGCCCTGAACAGCTTTCCTTCACAGCCTCCTTCCCTCCTCCCGCCCCACGCACACCTCCCCTCACACCCTAGCAAGCAGCCAGGGCTATAATTAGACTTGAGCCCTTAATTAGATGTGCAGAAGCTGTGGGGATAAAATGGCGCAGGGCTAAGGAAGTCCTGGGCGCTGACAGCTGCTGCTGCTGTTGCCTTCCTTGGGGGACCTCTGCTGTGGGATGGCTGAGCCTGGGCTCGTTATCCCCGCCGTGCAAACCGGGGCTTTGTCGGGGAGGCGATTTCCCCCTTCTTCCACTTTAATGAAGCTCCGGTCACAGTTCTTCCTTTGGCCTTGAATGGCAAACCAGTGCAAGCAGCATCTGCCTGTGCCCCCGGCTTTTCGTCTCGCTCCTGAGGTAGCCAGGAAAGAATAAGAGCAAAGTCAGAGCAGTCCTGGGGCAGGACCGAGGGTGTTCCCAACCCCGTGGGTAGAGGCTGGACCGGTACTGGACCGGGACATGGTACGATTAGGAGATACTCCTGCCTGGAGCCGGGAATGCATCAGGGGCTCAGGGGTCTGCCAGCACCAGCCCGTGGGGTGTCCCGGTGCCAGCTCCCACCGGTGGGTACCTCCCTCCCTCCCTGCCCGGATGCGGCACGTCCCGGCCCCCCGCCGCAGCTCTCCCTCCCCGGTGCCCCCTCTTCCCCGGCGCCAGGTTCCCAGTTTGTACCCGAGCCCTCTCCCACGCAGGACAGGCAAAACGCGCTGTCCCCACCACCTCCTGCCCGAGATCTCTTGATTAAGTTTCTCGCGGGGGTTGTAAACAACCCGGAGAAGTCACCTCCACCGTGCCCTTAATCTCCATCTCCTGCGGGCTGCGGCTGTTGTTTATGAAGAGCCCTGACAGCCGCATTTGTCTGAGGCATCTCTTCGGCCGTTTGACGAACCCCCTCCTGGCTGGGAGCTCTTTGCCCGCAGCCCTCTGCCAGGAGGACTCGGCGGGGGCTCAGCAGAGGGACGGCGGAGGTAACAGTGCGGGGGGGACACGAGCCCCAGCACCCCGGGGTGAGGAGGCATTCGGGCATGGTGTGGGAGTGGGATGCTTCAGATGATTCCGTGTGTAGGGGAACTTTTTGGTGGTGCTGGAGGAGGTGAGAAGGAGGTTTATGTGCAAGTGGCTCTTTTGGCGGTGAGTTTTGGACCTCCTGGGAGCTGCCTGGTCTGGAGAGGGCTCTGACTTTAGGGAAGCAGCAGTTCTGTCTGAGGTGTTGGTCTCCTCTGCTTTACAGATGGAGAAATCAGGGTGCAAAGAGGCAAAATGACTTTGCTACCCTTGTGCAGAAAGCTGGTGGCAGAGCTGAGACTGGAGCCATGGCAGTCACTCTCGTGCTGCTTCTCTTCCCCGTGAAACAGCTTTGCTGCAGGTTTCACCTTCCTTGCTCAGGAGCTCTGACCGTGCCCCTGGTTGTCTCTTCAGGGCAGGCAGATTTGCCTGCAGTCATCTTTCCTCTCCTGGTGAGCGGCCGACCCACACCAGTTCAGGCACTGGGATCGCTCGCTCCAGAAAAGAGTGCTAATCACAGCAGAGATCAGCACATCGTTTTTCCTTTCATCACCTCACACAGCTCCTCAGGGAATTGCTTTGCAGTTTTTATTTTCCCTCCAGCATCAGAAATCACAGGTTAGCAGCGTTGCCGGGTCACGGCAGTCTGCAAACCCTACACCGTGGTGGCCGTGAGTGCCTCCGCCTGTCCTTGGGGAGGAGGGTGATGCAGTGGCCAGAAGACCTGCTCATGAGATGCTCCAAAAGCAGGTGCAGAGCTGCTCTGACGCTGGCAACGGGACAGAGTAGGTAGAAACCTGCCTGGTCTGTTGGTGGTGCGGTGGGAAATCCCCAACTCTGTCCTCTCCATCGTGACCTCACCCACGGAGGCTGATAAAACGAGGCCTGAGAGAAGCAGAGCGGGCAAATGGAAAAGCAAACAGCTCTCCAGCCTGGACACATCCCGTCCTGGGCAATGTCACCTTGATGGAGTCCGACGGCGCAGAGGGGCGGAGGGGGTGCCTGTGGTCGGAGCCTAACTTGCTCACAGCCTACCCTGGGGGGTGCGACACCCCTCCGCCCTGCCCCGCGTCCCCCCCCGGGCTGCACAGCCTTTCCTCGGCCACGGCGGTGCTCAGCTGCAGAGGCAGAGGTGGAAGACAGCCCCTGGGTTAAGGAGAGCCCAGGCTGAGCTCTGTGCCGTATCTGGTACCCTTGACAAAAGCCAGCTCCATCTCCGCATCCTCAGAGATGGGGAACCTTCTCCGTGGCTGCTGCAGCCACACATTAAGGGACTCTTTCCTTTCTTCCTGGGCTTCTCCCATCACACATTCCTCTCCGTACTCCAGATTTTCAGAGGTACCAAGTCTTGGCGTCTCCCATTTGCTTTGATAAGAGCTGGTGGCATTGGCAACAGCTCATATCTGTGCCTTCACCCTGACACAGCTCCTGCCCCGTCTGCCCTCTGAAGCCAAATAAGGTCTCGGTGTTCGGGCTGCAAAGCCTCCGGAACTCCCGGTTTGCGATGGCATAAATCAGAGCCAGATCCAGCCTTCGGAGTGCAAGGCCACAAAGAAGTGATGATGAGGGGGAGGAAGGAGGATGACTAACCGAGCTCCGAGTGCAGCCCTGCCCCCTGAGTGTAACAGAGCTTTGAGAGGAGAGTTCACACTTAGCAAAGTAATTAAAAGTTCTAAGTCAGGCACGCAGTGAAGGGTTCTGGCCCCTTTCCTTGGGAGATCAAAGCTTGTTTTGGCAGAGACAGTGTTTAAATATATTTATAAAAAAAGGCGGGAGGCTCGTCAAAGGCAGCCGCCGTGTCTGCGGTCTCCCTTTAATTTGCTTTGATATCCCATGCAGCCTCGTTATTTGCAGTGTCAGGGCTCACCGTAATCCACATGAAATGCCGAGCAGAATCAAACAGGCCCCACGTTTGCACGCCCACAGCTTCCCCTCTCCCCCCCGGGAGCACCCCGAGCCCGGGGGCAACCCCGGCCCTGCGGGAGCATCTCTGTGGGACTGGGTACCCCGGGTGCTGTGGGTACCCCGGGATGGATGGGGTGGTACATCCCGCCTGTGCTCTCTGGCCCCAGGGCAGCCAAAACACCTTTCTCCTCATCTCTGCAAGTCTTCTGTGTATTTTTACGTGCTTTTCCCATCCATTCACATCTTTTGCGCATCCCGTTCCCCTTTGCGCGTGCTGGAACACTCAGGTTGTCATCTCACCTCTGGCTTTACATCTGATGCTCTTGTAGATGAGGAGAGACTGACACTAACTGACCTGGTGGGCTGCTGGTTCAGCCGGGCACTGCTGCTGGTTTGCAGCTTTTGGGGACAGGCTGCACCTTTTACCGAGAGTTTGGGCTTCTTTACCTATGGGAACCAGCACGAATTCACCCAAACTATCATTTAAAGTGGATTAGTTGAACTCTGTTCAGTCACATTTTAAATGGCCTTTGGGTTTTTTTTCAGATAAGTTGCTTAGGAAGTGAGCAAGTTAAAAAGATTTGATTCAGTTTAATTGAGCCACGGTTAATTTTATACCTGTGATTAATTCCGGGTAACTTTCCTAACTGTTCCTGCACAGACAGATGGCCAGAAAGGGACAGGGACCAGAGTCCCGCAGCGGTCCTGGGAGAAGGGGTGACTCTATGCCTCGTTCTTGCCTGTCTGCCCAAAAACTCCTGGCACTGTTTCAGACGCTCCCGAGCCCAGTGGCATGGGCTGAACCCGTCCCTGAGGTGCGGGCTGTCTATCGAGGACAGCCTGCATCCCTTAGCTCGCAGCTCCCCTGGTTCCCCAGTGACCATGGCACGAAACCGCATCTTTTCCCAGGTCACTTGCCTGCCACCTCTCATCCATCAGATGAGCAAACTGCAGCCAGGTCCCAGCCCTGCTCACCACCCCGTGAAAGCCAGCCCTCCCTCCCCAGTCTTCGGCAATGAGATCATCGCTGGCTGCCTGAGCGCGTTGGGATCGGTGCGCTGAGATCTGCATTAACCATAGCGGGGAATTGTCTCTGTGCAGCTCAGGGAAAGGGCTTGGCGAGGGGCCGGGCTCCATTTGGGGCATCACAGGTCCTCCCTGGGGAGTTTCCCTCCTGCAAAGCTGCTGCTTGCTCTGGGGAACTAACTGCAGGGTGCCTGGATGCGTGGGGGACACCGGTGGTTTGTGGCAGGGCTCTTGGACCCTGGAGGCCTTGCGAGCTTAGAGGGTGGCTGCAAAGGTTAGATGAGAAGGGAGAGAGCTGTGGGGCCACTGGGAAGGAGACAAAATGGTCATCCCTGCTTGGCCCCACACCGTTTCAGAGGGAGACGCATCCCTCCCTTGGGGAGGTGGCGCTCCTCCATCCCAGCACACCCAGTGAGCGCTGCCTCCTTCTGAAGGGACTGTAGTGGTGGGATGAGGGGGAACAGTTTTAAACTGAAAGAGGGGAGATTTAGATTAGGTATTAGGAAGAACTTCTTTCCTGTGCGGGTGGTGAGCCCCTGGGGCAGGGTGCCCCGAGAAGCTGTGGCTGCCCCATCCCTGGAGGTGTTCAAGGCCAGGTTGGACGGGGCTTGGAGCAACCTGGGCTGGGGGGAGGTGGGCCTGCCTAGGTGATCTTTAAGGTCTCTTCCAACCCAAACCATTCTGTGATTCTATGAACGGTCCCTTGGAAACAGCATCCGTGTGAATCGGGGGAATCCACCTCGCTGGGGTCCGGGTGACCTGCGCTGAACTTGTCAGTGTTTTGCGGTGCCGCTGTCTGGGTCGCTGCGTGCCAGAATATTCCTACCAACCAGGCGTTAATTACAGAGTGAGGAGGTTTAAGTGCAAGCCTCAAACTGGAGACCAGGGGGAGCTCAATGGCTTATTTTGTTCGGATTTCTTGCTCCTTTCAGGGTTTCTCGGGCTCAGTGAGGCTTCACACCTGGAGTCCCAAGAGAGGAGTTATTTTTCTGAGCTGCTTTGGTTTTCAAGGGAGCTTTTGTGCTTCTCAGGACTGTGTGTCTGGCTGAGTGCAGCAGGTTGGGGCAGGACAGCCTGGAGGGTTTTGTTTTGCAGTAAGTGACTCTGCAGCCGTTAATCCCCAACACCTTCTGAGAAATGGTCACCTCCTTGGAGGAAAGTACCCCACTGTCTGTTAGTTTTGGTGGTTCCTGAGGCAGATGAGGTACGTGTGCTCCCCAGAGGCAGAGCTCTCTTTCTCTTTTGCTTTTGTACAGACCCAGCACAGTGGGATCCAGAGCCCCGCTCGGACGCATAGGTGTTCCCAAAGTGCAAATCGCGTTTTGTCTGGTGTGACGTTAGTGAAGATAAGGCTGGAAAGTTCAGACGAATACTCACCCGTGCAAAACCCCGCGGTGCTGCTGCAGGGCTGCTGGGCAATGCTGGACTGGGACGTGGGAGATCTGGGTGGCTTTGGGTGTGAAGCAGTTCCCCTCTCTGCATCCCCCTCCCCGTCTGTCAGCAGAGCCCTTTGCTGGAGGGGCTGTGTGAGGGGGCTTTGGGGGTGCTGCTGGGCAGAGCTGCGTGGGTGGCGATGCACCAGGTGCCTGGAGCAGAACGCAAGCGTTCCCTCTGCCTCCTGGGTAGGGAGAAGGAGGAAGACTTTGCCGTGGCCCCAGAACCTTTCTGGACCTCCGTGCCCTGCTCTCACTCTCTTTTCTCCAAAGCAAGTGCCTTGGGGCTCGGCACTTCTGCTGCCGCTCCAGCAGCTCTCTCTGCTTTCTCTTTGTCCTCAGACCTGGCTCAAGGGCACCTGCAACTGGGACAGCTGGGCAGGGACTTCCGAGCGGACACCAGCCCCATCTCCCCCTCCGAGGCGGAAGGCCAGTCCCCGATGGCTGTGCGCTACCGCAACAACAACCAGCGCCGCTTCTCCATGGAGGCAAGTACTGCTGCAGGCTGGAGTGGGCAGAGGGGACGTGGCAAGTACCGGTTGTCACCTGCCTGCTGGCTGGAAGAGCCGGTGTTTGATTCGTGGGGACCTGACAGTCTCAGACACGAGCCCTCACGTCCTCTTGGGTGGACTTGACATGACTTCCATGGCAGAGCCCAGCACACATCCCCATGCGCACGCGTGCACACGCTCCTTCCCTTTTCCTTTGACAAAGCGTCCCACAGATGCTGCACCCATTGCTTCGGCATTAACATCAGCTCTGGTTAGAGAGCACTTCCCCTCGAATGTCTCCGTACAGTCCTCCTTTCATCAGATGCATTCACCACCCGCTCTTCTGGCCCTCTCCGCAGGATGTCAGCAAGCGTCTCTCCCTGCCCATGGACATCCGCCTGCCCCCCGAGTTCTTGCAGAAGCTGCAGATGGAGAGCCCGGAGTTCCCCAAACACCTCAGCAGGATGTCACGACGGGCTTCCCTCGTAAGTCTCACCGTGCAGAGCGAGCAGGGCCGGGCACGTCTCGCTTCATGTGCACAGGTCCCGGCCAGCAGATGCACGTGCTGGTTGCCACCCACCCGTGCAGCCGTGCCCTGCTGTGCAAGCTGCCTTGTACCCGCTGTGTGTCACACACACGCACACATCCCTGCCCATGCGGATCCCATCCTGCACACGTTCCCCCCACCGTGCACATATGGGTGTCTCTTCCCCCGTGTCGCTCCTCCACACGCACATCTGCCTACAGCTGTGCACATCCCCAGGGCTCCACGTTCCTCCGCTCACCTCTCCACAGACCCGACTTTCCTCTTGGCCTGGCTCCTTCCAAAGGAGGAGATGGGAAACCTCCTGTGGTTTAGCAAGTGCTGGAGCCTCGGCTAGTTGAAATGCAAATGCCGGTAAATCATTTGCATTAGCTTTGGCATTTCAGTTCCTCTACTGCAGAGCGTCAGCATATGTAGGAGCAAAAACCCGGTGCCCTGTTTATAAATGTGCAAACGCGTGTGTGTCCTGTTCCGTGTGTGTCCTGTTCCCCCGGGGTGCTCAGTGCTGCACAGACCCCGCAGCGAGGGCTCGGCAGGCGCCTTCAGGTCTGGCGTGCCTGTTCAGGGGGAGGGAGGAGAAAAGGAGAGCCTGCGTTTACCTGCTCGTTCTGTCTGATCAATAAAATAGACACGGCCACAGCAACGTGCCGTTAATATTTATGGTCCCCTCCATGAATGAGGCATGCTCCTGCAAAACTCCCAGGATGGCTCTGGGGGGTGTTCGGCACCTCCGATTGCAGCAGGCGCTTCATGTCGCTACTCGGGACAGGTCTGTTCCCAGGGCACACACAGGGTTTGGGGAAGCCAAAACGGGGTTAAAAACCCCACTGTGTTCCCCATCCAAATCCCACCTGCATGAGCGAGAAAGCAGCTTCCCGGCTGTGTGTGGCAGCTCGTGAGAGCGTGGTGGTCCGGTCAGTGGCCGTGGGAAGGAAAAAGCCTTCCTGTGGGGCAGCTGTGGGCATCAGGGGGGGCTGCGAGAGCACCCCAGACCCGGGGCTGTCGGTTCTGCAGGCAGAGCCCTGGGGTGGTCCCTCAGTGCCTCCCCCCGGGGACCCTTTCCCTGCCCGGCCGTGTCCCGCTGCTGAGGAGAGCTGTTCCTCCGCCTCCATCAGCCCATGGCCGGCGGCGCGGCGCAGCATCGGCGCTGGCGCAGGAGAGGGGCAGGGCTGGGGGGACTTTTCCCTGGGCTGGAGCAGAGCTGGGTGCTGCGCTGGGACTACACCGATGCACACATATATTGTGGGCGACTGACACCGGTTTATTAAACTTAAGGAGGAATGATTTCCCCTGCTGTGCTGGGAACCATCCCCTGCCCCAGCAGATGATCCAAACGAACCGAGGTGGTGTCTCTGTCCCCACCGAAAACTGCATTTCCAGGGGTCTGCTAGGAGTGACGCCGAAATCCATCGCCTTGCAGTGGGTTGCCCTTCTTTCCCCGGGTGGAGGAGAGCAGGGCTCAGCAACACGTTAAAGAGTTACTGTTCCAAATGGGAAAATGTCCCTTTCACGCTCGGTTTGAGCAGCGCACAGAGGAATGAAGGGAGTCACAGTAAAGACCAGCACGTAGTGGAGCAACTCCCGAAACGGGCCGGGTATCGGCAGCAGGATCCCACGAGGCTTCTCCGGTAGAAAAAGCATCGGCTTTTTGCAAACCGCAGCTCCCGTTGGGCTCGGCCGCTGCTGGGGGCTGTCAGGGCGGTGGGTGCGAGGAGCGGGGAGCCGGGGGGGTGGCAGCGGGACGGGGCGGAGGTGGCGGCCGCGGCCGCCCCG